GTAGCAGCAGTAGTAGTGGTAGTAGGAGCACTAGTAGTAGTAGTAGTAGTAGTAGTCGTAGTAGTAGTACTACTACTACTACTGCTACTACGACTACTACTAGTAGTAGTACTAGTAGTTCGTAGCAGCAGTAGTAGTAGTAGTAGTAGTAGTAGTACTAGTAGTAGTAGTAGTACTACTACTACTACTACTACTGCTACTACGACTACTACTAGTAGTAGTACTAGTAGTTAGTAGCAGTAGTAGTAGTAGTAGTAGTAGTAGTGGTGGTAGTAGTAGTAGTAGTGGTAGCAGCAGCAGCAGCAATAGTGGTAGTATAGTAGTCGTCGTCGTCGTAGTAGTCGTCGTCGCAGTAGTAGCAGTAGCAGCAGTATATAGTAGTAATAGTAGTAGCGGTAGCAGTACTAGCAGTACTAGCAGTGCTAGCAGTACTAGCAGTAGTAGCAGTAGTTGTCCTTGTGATGAAGAATAGTGCTGTATCTCTGTGTCAACCCTTACAAGTTCATGCGCTCTGCCTTTTAAGCGAGCGCTGTGACAGAAAAATTGCGATCATGTCCCGAGCACCGAGTCAATACAACCGCGGCGGATTCTTCGGGCGCATGGGGTACCCTGGTCAATCACGAGTGACATCTTCCCCGATCAGAACACTCCGAATTTATCCCGCCTGCGCCTGGCGGCTGCATTGCGCCTCATAGCTTGTGCACGCTGTCCAATCGAAGTTGTTGCGGCACTGTGAGATCAGGCTTTCCTGAGCTGTCGGTTGTGAAGGACGATTGTAGATGGGATCTGATGTCCTAGCATTGGTCATGGAGCATTGTGAAATGGTGCTCTGGCCGGGATACCTGCTGTTGAGACCGAACTCACAATCAGTGTGAGCTTCTCAGCATCACATTACGATTTGCCAAAACTTTTTGCGAGGGTGCTACCTTCGAATGATCCAAGAAAGATTGGGCTTCGAAGATCAGTGCTCCAGTCCTTTGAGGTGGCAATGCCTTGTCGAAGAAGGGCACGTCAGATATTCTCCCTGGGGGACTGTCTTGGGTTGAACACCCTGTCAGATCCCATGAACCCATCACGCGACAGTTTTTTACCAGACCGCATGAGAATGCAAGCACTTGTCCTTTCCAAAATCACAACCCACTCCGTTAAGGAAAAAATGCGGAACAGACCCAAAGGCCTGCGGAACGGAAGGCCAACTATCCGGCAAACCCTCTGAGGCAGACGAAGCCCATGCAAGCTAAGCTACACAGTCCTGTCCCTCCTCCACTCGTCGGGCACTTTGAAACGTCCTGTTGCAGCGCAGAGCCACAGATTCGCCGCACCGATGTCTTTCTTCGTGCTTCGATGCCACTCAGACACAGCCACAGCAAGCACTGCCATCCAGAGAGCAAAGCACCCCCCCCCCCCCAAAAAAAAAAAAACAGCTTTTCGCCGAGGGGCGGCTGCGATATGCTGCTGCTGGCAAAGGCTAGCCTGAGCACGAGAAGTACGAGCTGTCAAATCCTAACACAGCACTGCTGTGGTGACTAGGCAGCTTCGGCTTGCGGCTTAGCGCGCGGATGCCCAGTGCTGCGATACCAGAGGCTGTTGCGAATGCACCCAAAAATGACAGCTGAAACAGGACACACACAAACCGAGAAAGAATACTGGCGAAGCTGTAAATCACAAAGCCTGAACTGCTCTTAAGTGCTCTGAATCCTCATAGCCGGAGGTCGAAAGCTGTGTCGGACGCGGGGAAGCCTCCGAAGCTTCGACTTGCTGCGAGCACTGAGGATTAAGGCATTAAGGCTTGTAAGGTTCAGGGTCTGCATGATGTTGCCTTCGGAAGATTGCGAGCATGCCTGACAAACTCGCAGTACAGTAGGCTAATGGTGGTTCATTTCGGATAAACTTTCCAGGCGAGGACTACAGACCACAACATCCTCCGCGTCATGACTGCCAACATCAAACCATGGCCCGACTATGTCAGGATGCACTTCGCGGCCAGCAAGGCTTCAATGTCTCGAAGCAACAGATGCAAACAAATATCTGCTCTGTTCAGTTCAGGTCCAACTACCAAGGTGTTTCGATGAGTTCGTGATGGGACATGTGCCAAGTCTACAGAACAGCTTGGAACTACAAGTGGCAGTTTTCGAGAGGATTCCTGCAAGTTCAACGAACGACGTCGGCTTGAGCAATGTAGGCTTTCATGTCATGTGCAGATTCTTGGTTCTCTTAGCAGTTGAGCCTGCTGGCAGTGGTCCTCAAAGTGAAGGCACGCTGTCCAGTCTTGGCTCTGGCATCGCAAGCTCCATGTGTCCTCCGAAGTTTCGGGAGCTGTGGCCCTACAGGAAGGCCGCTGGTATACCCGCATAACTGGGGATTAGCGTGACAGTCATGCATGAGTGCGCGCATAGACTCCTACCCTCGTACTGTCCTTTATCCATACATGTGCATGCAAGCATGTATGCAATGCAATGCTATGCCATGCCAAGCCATGCAACTCAACACAACACAATGCAATGTCACCTACTGTAATCGTATGTACGCACGTACATAGATATGCACCAGTGTATGAATGAATGAACGAATGAATGAATGAATGAATGAATGAATGAACGAACGTAGGTATGTATGTATGTACGTACGTACGTATGTATGTACATACTGTTGAAACGTATGCATGTATGTATGGATGGATGGATGGATGATGTATGTATGTGCTTGATGAAGCACGCACGTATATGAAACCACAACCAGCACCGATGTAGGAAGAGAAACACAACGGAAATTCCGGATCCACATGGTCCTGGATCCCGGCACCGGAACAGGGGGTAGACTTGATTGTCCAGTGGAACATCCCCGGTAAAGCCGACAAAGATCCACAAAGCAAACAGGAACGCCGACTCCAGCGTAGGCCGCGAAGCCCTGTGGCTGTCAATAGCTCATAACAGGATCTTCCAAGACATTCAAGCCGTAAAGCCCTTGATTCTGAGTCGGAAAAACGTGAACCGTGAAACGTCGTGGGGGGAGGAATGCAAACAAGTCGCACAATCCAAGTTCGTTCTGACGACCGGAGCTGAAGCTTGGCTCCTGAGCTTTCTTGACAGTTCTGGGCTTCTAATCTGTCACAAGCGTTGCTGTGACATGGTGTGACTGAGGGATGGTGCTGTAGCAAACGGGGATAGTGACCAGGTATCGGCGTCGTCTGGATCAACAGCTGCCTGCTGCACTCCACGGACGGCTTCGATTGCACTAGACACTCATGCCGTCGAGGCATTGTTTTAGGATGATGCTCAAAACCATGAATGTTGACACAGACCCGGATTAGTTTCAAGTGTGTGCAGCATGCCAATCGGCCAAACATCTTAGGCGGATGATGGACAGCTGAAGATGAAATGCTGGGTGGGGACGACAACTAAACCGTTGGAGTATGCCCCGACAAATTCACTTTCGGTCGTCCAGCTTGAGCCAAATCCTTGTACAAACAAATTACCACTTCTTGCTGCCTGAACTTTTTGGAGCCGTTGTCACCTCAACGGCTCCGAAATGCAGCCAGAAAGCTGTTGAGTCTCAATCTGGATCAGCTGGACTGCCTGGCTGCGAAGGCAAAACGGCTGGCGGTGTCACGGACGCACGCCTATGGTCTGTTGAGGTATTGTGTGTAAAACGGTGAGGAATTCGGCCCTGACGACGTACTAGCTTACTAGCTTACTAGCCATCACAATCTGTCACTTCGGCGGTGCCTTTGCTGCGTTGTAGCAGCGCGACTCGAAACCCACGCACGAGTTCCAATCGAAGTCGTTGCGGCACTGGTGAATGAGATCCACCTGAGCTTGAGACTCAACAGGACGAGACTGGGCTGACTTGCGGGGGCGCTTTCCAGCTCCATGCTTAATACTGCCGAGCAGCACAGCTCGCTGTGGCGCTGCTGCTAGTAGCATTGCCCGAGTTGTTGGTCTGCGCCGTGCCGTGCTCATGGAGCTGGGCGCTCTGCTGTGTCTGTGAGATCCGCCTCCTCGCAAGCGCAAACATTGCTCATTAGGACATCCGGGAGGTGCTTCACAGCTGCCCTAGCAGAGCATTGAATATCACAGACCAAGCTCGCTGCAAAGAAAGCCTGTATGCATGGACCAAGACATGTGTGCTGTGACCAGCCAAGGGTCGAGGTGACGCCGGCCACACCGGCCTTCCGTGCATGAAATCTCAAATAGAACGGGCTCATGGTCGTTGTTGACTGAATCTAGAAAGATCTCGGAATCAAGCATGCGCACACACCCGCACCCAAACTCCTTTGCAAAGGACACTTGCATCAGTTTACTGGCTCAGGCTGCAGGTACACCGCCAAACATCCTTCCATCGCCCAGTCGCACATTTCCCCGTTTCCAGGACCCGAACCTTGCCCGCGTTCTTGGCATGGCCGTGCACGTGGCCCTGGCCCTCGTGACTGTGCTGGCCCTCGTGGACGTGCTGGCCCTCGTGGGACTCATGGGACAGCCTGCAACAGAGCTGAGCAAAGGCACGAAGCTACATTTCCAGCTTGCCGAGTTCTTCCTTTGGTCCAGAAGTGTTCGTCTCGTGCTACGATCTACATGTTCTCAACTTGCGAAATAAAACAACAGAGTTGTCCCAAAGCAGGGCAAGCAACACCGACACCGATGCCCACAGAGACTCGAGTCTACCAGAGCGCTCCATATGTCACCCAGACCCCTGGAAGCCTTCGGCGTCCTCTAGAAGCCTAAACGAGTCCGCTCTTGGCGCCCTGCTGCTGCCAGTCGGGGATGATCTGCAGGAGGTTGGTCAGATCTTCCTCTGTCTTGCAGGCCTGGCGCGGTCAGGATTGAAGAGTCTACCCATGCCCTGTGAGAAAATGTTAGGGCTTGGGCTTCAGGATTTCAACAGTATATAAGCTCTGCACTCGACGTCTTTCCGGCTCCGGACGTTTGCACTTTCACATGCAATGATGCAACGGCGGTTAGCTTCTACGCAACCTCAAAACTCGAGATTAAACTGTCTTGCTCTGCGGCGCGCCTGCGTGCCAATCGAATGAAATACTTCGGTACCTCAAGCTGAACCCATGTTTTTGCACACAGAAACTGTTCCATGCCGAGGCTTCCGCCGGATGTGAGGGGAGCGCAAATGCAAGCCACTAGTCCTCGGGTGATCCGCGAGTCTGTCGGTGTAGCAGGATGAGATCCACTTTAGATGTGTTTGACTGGTTCAATGTGTTCCTCTTGTGGTTGTTGCATTTGCACCGTGATCTTCTCGTGGCTGGTGCTGCTTGGTACTTCATCAGCGTCGTCATCGTTATCAGCATCATTCTCACCACGACCATCAGCATCAAAATCATCATCGTCGTCATCATCATCATCATTCACCATTATCACCATCCTCATCCTGAGCATCATCATCGTCATCACCATCATCCTCATCCTCATCACCGTCACCATCACCATCGGCAATCCATGACTGTCAAAAATATTTTGACAAGTCTCAGTATGATACATCCATACGCCCACTTGCAGAAGATTGATTACAAAAAGACGATCAACTATGCTAACCGCAAACTGTTATACGTGGTGTTCTTCTTGGTCCTCTTCCTGTTGCTACTGCTGCTGTCTCTGGATGGCATTACAGGGTCTGTCGTTTTGAGAATCGTTCCGATCAGAATCATGGAGGCTAGATTTGTTCTGCGTCAGGTCACCATGGCTATGGGCGTGAGAGGTGTAAGGCTTCGGCCAACAGCCCTGGCGAGCGACCTCATGTTGCCTGAGCACAGCCGCATCGTGACAGGAGTATCAGAAAAAAGTGCCACAGGGCATGGCATTAGCAGCAGATAAAGAAAAAAACAAGCAGTGACAACAGCGCAGCGGTAACGTGGAAACGCGCAAAATTAGACCCACGTTCACAACGGCAAAGTACTATCAGAAGCGGTAGCCAAAACACCAACCGACTACGAATCAGAAAAACAATAGCAGCAGCAAGAAAGACTACAGTTAACTGCAGGGTTTCAAACGATAACACTAGGTGACTCAATCATAGCAAGTCTGCTTAGGAGGCTCTGTCTGTCCCCACGCCTGTCTTTCTTCGATATTCAATCGAAGCTAAATTAGAAAAGACTCAGGGCGATAGTGTGAAAGCCGCTCAGGGCTGGAGAGACCTTTACTTCCTCCGCAAACTCGAGGGCTCCAAGTGCCCAGCTCTGCGTCATCCTCCAGAGCTCGCCAAGTATGCTTGGACCAGCCGGCTGCGGTAAAAAGCCGCGTGGGGCTCTTTGACACTCTCTCCGCTCTCCTCTGTCTTTCTTTCGGCATGTCTTTCCCGCTCTCTCCTTCACCCTCTCTTCTTCCCCGGGGCATGAGGGGTCTGTCAAACCCCCCGGCCTATTGGCCCCCGAATTTCTTGGGGCTTTCGGGAGGATGTGAAAAGGTGGCTCCCTTCTTCCCCAGGGCATAGGGGGCGGGTCAGACCCCCCGGCCTATTGGCCCCCCATATATTATGGAGCTTTCGGGGGTGTGAAAGTGTGTCGATAAAAAGGTGGCTCCCTCTCTCTCTCTCTCCCGGGCATGAGGGTCGGTCAAGACCCCCGGGCTCAAAAGCCCACCCGCAAATATTTTTTGCAGGCGAGGAGGCGTGAGAAACGAGCATAATTCGCCCATCGGCTACAGCGATAACTATTAAGCAATGTGAGGAGTAAGGGCGACTGTATGCTCTCCACGACACATGCACGAGTCGACAAAGTATTTCCCCCCTAGGTCATTACCATGATCAGAAGGTGACCCATGAGATAAGTTCCATGGGGGAAGAGACAATGCCCTCAGTTATCCGGAACCTTCGTCCCAATTGGAGTAGGGGGCACTCTAATCAACATTCGAACCAACCAAACAAAAATAATAAGGCATAATCACCTCCAAGACGGCCCTATAGAACCAGAGTTTGTTGTCCCCCCTGGGCCGTTGCAAGAAGTGGGAGGCTAGCATAACTTGCTGCAAGGCTGCCCGGAGCAAAGGTTGTCCCCCTTTTTTGCAACAAGGACGCCACCTTCTCCCTCTCTCTCTCGCTCTCCCCCCCTCTCTCCGCTTCATGGATGCCGGACAACTTAGCCGAAAGTGCTGGGGAGCTTCCTTCAAGCTCCGCGAGAAAATTCAGCCACTTTTTGCATTGGGCGCAGCAAGGGTGAAACCAAGCAGGCCCAGCAAGTCGACCTCCACACGTTGCATCCCGGACTGCTCACACTCCTGACAGATTTGCACGGAACCCGAAAACTAGTTTCGGATCGTTTAGGCTTTTCCGGTTTGACATTTTGCAAGGTCGGGGACAGCAGATTCTTGCACACCAACAAGCCTGTGTAGAACCCTTCGACTCCTCCCCTGGTCTCGAAGTATCACACGTCTTCTGGAGCTGCTTGGGCAAAACAGGTAGGGTTGGAAGATGTGTTCGGAACTTGGCAAGAAACAGCAGGCTAATGCTGCATTCGGCACGTAAACAAGCGATCACCACAACCTGAAAGTCTCAAAGAAGTTTACTTCAGAGCGCGGAGCACCACATTCTGTTGCGAAGTGTCTTCAGCACCAAACAGCCTTGGGTGCTTCATTTAGAAGAGCTGCTGCCAGTAGCGCCCCACAAGCTGCCAGGTCACATTCACCACCTGCAGCAGGAAAAGCAGGCAGTGTGCAAAGCATGCAAGGAGATGCTAGGTGTACACCTCAGCAGTTCTTGAAAGGTTGAGGGCAGTCACATTTTGCAGGCAGGCAGAAGGGGCCGTACAAGGTGACAAAACTCTCTCTGGAACAGCTTTATAGGCACACCGCTCGAATTCGCCACCACGGCGAAGCCTCTCTCCGAGACAGGAAGTTTGCGGTAAATGTTGGCTGAAAGTTGAGTCTCAATGCTTGAGGCAGGCGCGTAATATGGCACATGGCACAATTCAAGCAGACTTTCGCTTAGCGGGACAGCGATCTCGGCGCATAACAGCCACTGGCCTCGTTGACAAAAAGCGGCAAACATCACCAGCGCGTGCTGCCACTGATCGCCCTCGAAATCGAATGGGATTGTGCTCAATGGCTCGTTTGTGCATCGATGCTTGGGTTGTGTCCTCAGGCACGAGCCGCAGAATACCTCCGAGGCTCCTGCTGAAACAGCTGCATCCACCGCTGTCGCCATTGCGATGGAATTTGCCTCTCGCAAGCATGGCTGTCATGCAAGGTGAAAACTCTGATCCCAGACCGAGCCGAGAATGACGGAAAAAAGGAAAAGAACCCGCGCCAAAACGCGGCAGGGCTGACAATGAGCACAAAGATGTCGAACAGGGCTACCAACTCCGTGCTGGACATGGGCATGTGAGCCCTAGCAGCTCTAGCAGCTAGCACGAGTTCGCGTGCCTCCAAACCGTGGTGCGAAAGCCCCCGCAGCAGCAACAGTGCCGGAGACCAAGCGGAACCTCCACACAGGAATTTCTGGCTAGGTGTGTTACACGAAACTCATTTGTGAACTCTCGACGGTCACGCCGAGTGTTTTTGCTGGCTATGATGTCGGGAAACCAACGGCGAAAGGCTTCCTGCAACTCTGCTTGACAAGACCAAGGGTGACACAGATGTGGGCAAAGCTTGAGGGTCGGAGGGTACGGCAACAGCTGTGTAGCTCTCACAGGAGCAGGACTCTGTGATTTCGCCATGGCCCAAGCCGCGGCAGTTTCACCTGTGAGCCTGCACCGTCTATGTCGTCGGTGTATTTCAGGATTACGGGTTTAATATTTAGGGCTTCGGATTTTGTCCAATGCTCGCACGAGCCGTGGCCTTGCTCGCAAGCTGCGAGGACAGCGCTGAAGCTGACGATTGTGGCGTTTTCTGCCTCTGAGAAGCATTCGCTTATCCCCAAGGTCTCGAGAAAATTGTTGGCGCGGAATCTGGGCCCATCCCACCGAACCACAAAGACATCTTGTGCACATGGGAAAAACATACCACCAGTTCCGCTCGTATAGCACGTGGCTTCGTCGCAAGTTACATGGTCTTTAGGTTGTTGGCGTTCCCCGAAACAATACAGTCGAGGCCCTGATCCAGCGATTGATTGCCATGCAGGCACATCGACAACTGTTGATTTAGAAGCAACTCAAAGCATTCCTGCCCTCAGCTTTGCACAAGTACGTCCCGCGAAAGACACTCGAAGCGAATCCACTCATCTACGACTTTATGTTCCAATAAATCCACATTGGCACCATCTGGGTAGCATGACAACACTGAGATCCCGCGTCGGTGACTGGCAGCAAAACGAGGGCTTCGAGGCTTCGAGTCCTCAAACTGAAAACGGAGGAGGTGCCAGCTAACCTTCCCTAAACCCTAACTCCAAAAGGCCTCTAAGACTTTCCAAACCCTATGCTGGGCTTGGCTGCGCCTCCTGGAGCAGACCCAGGGATCTCGGCCAGTGCCCGGAAGCAGCCAGAACACTGTTCCGGAGGACCTTCGGCTTTTTTCTTGGTTTGTCCGTAATTTTGGTGAGAGTTCGAGTGATGGGAGTTGGGGGCCGAAGAGTTTCTGAAAAAGCTAGGCAGCCAGTCGAACGGAGTCTGTTTTGTTCATGCCACGCGACCACATCCTGCGGCAGCCCTGCAGCCGCCGTTCTTTCCGGGGTCCACAAAGCAGCCTGCCAATGGCCACCTCAACACACAAAGCGGTCCGAAGCCCATACAGCTTCATGGTGTCAGCAGAACGGTTAGTTTGTCGCTGGAGTCTAGCAATGCCCCAGCATCCGTGGGCAGCATAAGATCTCCGAAGCCCGAAACAGAAACAAGAAAACGCTGGTGGCCTTTCTCCGCTGCCATGCATCCGCTCGAGAGGAGCACCTCCCGGGCATCCCTCAACACTCGGAAAGCCCAAAGTCTCGCTGTCTTGAACTCAAAGCCCAAAAGGCCGCATCAACTTTGAAAGCAATGAAACACCCTAAACCCCAAAAGCCTAAAACCCTACTAAAGCCTAAGACCCTACTAAACCCTCAAACTCTAAACCCTGAAACCCCTAAACCCTGAAACCCCTCTCGAACCCTAAACCCTTCCGAACCCAGCGCCCAAATGTGCCCCGTCCGAAACCCCAAGGGGGGGGCCAGGTCAGACTCTGCGCGAGCACGAAGAGCAGAGCGGAGGAGCTCCGAGGCCGGACGCCAAGCGCTACCTGGCAACCAGGCTTGGTGTGTTTTTAGGGTCCATGAGGGTATTGAGGATATTTTAGAGTCTTTTCAGGTATTTTTGGTCATTTTGGCGTATTTTTGGGCTTTTAGGCTTTCTTTCTTATCACCTCTTTTCCGTCAGCCCGGAAGGTCTCAGGAATGCCAATCTGGCTGAGGCGGGTTTCGGAGGCAACAACCATCAGAGGGATTCACCACCACCACCACCACCACCAATGACCCAAACTGGCAACACCCCCATGCCTCCCGAAAGGACAGCTAGCCCATACTCAGACCTGCTGCAGCTTGAAAGCACCAGGGCACCCCGGACACAGTCTGCATACCCTTCACCAATTCACTGCAACAACCTCACAATCCAAGGCTATAAACAATGCTGCCAAACCCACACTTGTACAGAATTGAGTTTAGCACGGGTCATCAGACTCACCTGTACAGTCCAGTGATGCTGCGCTTTTCGTCCGACTCAAGTCTCATCGCCTAGCAGCAAGTACACACCAATGAAAACCATTACATCTCCGAAACCTACTACATGCCAGGCGACTGAGTCGGGTCTGCTAGCACGGTCTTCGCGGTTTACGCTGGGTTTTAGGGTTTACCGTTTAGGGTCTATCGCAGCTCTTGATGATAGTCAGCAGAGGTCAACAGACTGGGTAGCTCCCCATTGGACACTGATGGGCATACCTCCCCGAAGAGAGATGGAAAGTTCCGAGCAGCGTGCACAATGTACAGGTCCGCAGGCAACTTACGCTACAGCTTCGGATTATCTGCGAATAGAATATCTGCCCTTCTTGCTCAACGACACTGCGATACCCCGCCTAAACTCCAGCATCTCAGAACATGTTGCACAAACCCAAGCGGGCCTTGATCGGGCTTGGGGATTCTACAGTTCAGTGTGAAGGATCTTGGGCTCACTCCCGCGCTGATGTGCCTTGGCCACAAGCGGAAACCACACCACCGAAGAGGACCGGATCCTGCATCCGGGCTCACAGAATGGGAACTACAAGCTGTGGCGGCTGGGAAAAGGATGGAAAAGGCATGGGGCCTGGCTGGCCGTGGCGTGCGCTGCACGGCTTGACTCGCTGCGTGCCACAGCCTGCTCCCACTGCTGGCCTGCCGCAGTGCCAGTGTGATGATGACATTTGATTTGAACATCATGCACTCCTGCAAATCTGCGGGCAGCATGCCTTGTCTGCATGTTGTCACAGCGCAGTTGTAGCACACGGCATCCAGCTCGCTGTGCCACAGCAGCAAGTCCTCCAATGAAGCTGTTCAACTCGCGACCCGACCACAAACGATCCCTAGGCGAACCTTTTCCGGCGTCGATGGCAGTCTGGCTGGTGAGCAGTCCGAGCCTCAGCCCTCCCATCCCTTGGTCACTGGACCGAAAGAAAGAATTGGAAGGCGGGCGCTGGTAGTGTGGTACGGAGGCTCGGGTGTGTCTTTCAAGAGCCTGGAAAGATTTTACACAGGAAATGACATGCTGCATCAGGAAGGCATCTTGCAAGCAAGGGCCAAGCAGCCTCACCCAAGCTCTCAGCCGTGTTCTGAAAACCCAGAGAGTGTACGTCGACTGAAGAAGCCTCACTGAAGCATTATTAAGCATTGAGCATGTTCGGCTCCGGCATACCTGAACCCCAGAGAGCTCACTCCCGTGCAATGCAAACCCGAACCGCGCTTTCGCTTACAGGGAAGCCTTGCCGTCTAAGCCAAAGTCCGTGAATTACAGAAGCAGCACAAGCCAGGGTTTAGGGTTTTCTCAGTCCTCAAAGAGGCGGTGCCCGTACTCCCAGCCACTGACCTCAACACGTCCACGGCTCCCAGAATTCTGAGTCGACACTGCCCGGCTTCGAGTTTTGACAGGGTTAGCTGAGTGTGAGATGAGCCGGAACGTAGCAAAGGCAGTCGAAGCCGTTAAGTGCCCAGAGCAGAGGAGCACTTAAGAACATGCGCGAGTGCATTCAACCACTTAAGATGTCCTTGCTCAGGCTTGAATTTTCAATCGCTCACTCCCACAACATCTCACAACTCTCGACCCCTTTGACTACTCCCCAACCTTCCAAAATATGAGAGATGGGCAGAGACAGTGCGACAGCAAGAGCAGAATCAAGAGAGTGCACCTGGTCCAACGCTTTCAGGGCATTGGCACAAACCTCGACACAAGCTCAAGTCTTGCCCCGGAAGTGGATCCACTCGAGCTGGGCAGGCCTCGGACATGTCGCCAGAACCTTGCAAGGTGCAAAACGGTGAGGTGCAAAGTGCCGATCCTAGTGTCAAAGCTCGAGTTCGCCGGGACTCGGAATGCCAGAACTTGCTGTTTAATCTCGCATCAGCCCAAAACCATCAGAACTACCACCTGGGACGTGACGGATCTTGGAAACCCAGAAGAAAAATGCTCCCCAGCCTGCAGCTGCCAGCTGCCGTGCAAGGCTCATAGCTTCGGCCCAGCAGGCCGCGTCGGCAAAGACCTGCTGGGGAGTAGGGTACTCTTGGGGCACTGCCGCCCAGAGTGTGCAGCTGCGGCTTGCTTGGCGGACAAGCACTCACAAGCGACACATACCCGCAGCAGGCGCAGGAAGCTGCTCTGCATGTGCGAGATATCACTCTCCCAATCCCGGAGCACGGACCGTGAGGGTCGGGGATGGCTTCAGCCCTGGCCACCTTGGACGCAGCTGTGGCCACTGGTCCCGGCCTCCGAACCAGAGAGCGGGCGCTTCCAACACTAAGCTCCGGTGGGTGGGGCTGGGGCGGACCTGTGCCCCCGTTGCTCAGACACGGCGACACATCGCTCGTGCTCGGCCTCCCCAAAAGTCCGGCCGACTGCGGCAGGCGGAGTGCCGCCAGGGCAGAAGCCCACCTCGACCGCTGGCTTCGACGACGGTATGCGATGATCGATGAACGCAAGCAGGATACGAAGGAGGAGCAGCAGAGGCGGAAAATGGGGATTGGACCAAAGTAACGCGAGTGGGTTTCGCAATACCCGCAATCCAGAAACCCAGAAACTCCCCTGAACATGCCTGAACATCCCTGTCTCCAAAACCAAGGATCTAATGATCTACAAATCTTCCAACTCTGCCGAGTGCTCTTGCCTCGTGGCCTTGGTAGCCGTGGTGAGGAGGCTTCCAAGTAGCTCCTCAAGAGCCGTAATAATACTACTAACAACAATACTAGTAACGACAATAATGAAAATAAGCCTAATGAAATAACAGTAATAATAATCGTACAGTCTGACTGAAGAGCCCTCTCGTTCAAAGGATCTCTGCCCTGAGCACTCCTCGTCCAGTGGTCCTCAGTTGGCTCTGCCGTCGGAGGACTCACTGCAGCTCCAACGAATCTCTACGATCAGGGTTCACGCAATGGTTCGCCTTCCCTGCCTGGCAAGTTCGGGAGATTTTGCGCTTTGCACCACTTTATGGTGTCAGCCGGCCTCTAATGCGCTTAAGCAGTGGAAATCGCTGCCGAGGTCAGGAAGACTCGCATGGGCCGTCTTTAAATCTCTGAAACAACAACAACACAAAATAGGCGAGACTCGTTCATAAAACCTACAAACACCGCTTCGAGTCATGACGTTGAGGACCCCCAACTTCCTCAAGTCTCACAGACTTTTGCAACCGTTGTTCCCATGGCTCCTCATGCGCTCATAAATCCGCAAACTCGCACCCTTGCCACAAATGTTCTCGTCTGCTGGCCTTCAGAGCCCTGTGCCGCCAGCTCCATCGCGGCCTCACCTGACGCCGCGTTGCGGTGACTACAGGCTGAGGAACAACTACATACGGCTCATCCCGGCTGAAAGCCAAAGTGCCTAGTCATTCCGGCATAGTCTGTTTGTTCGCCCGGGTCGCAGTCTTTCCTCGCCACGATGGCAGCCGCCGATGCCGAGGCCGAAGTGGCGACGATCCCAAAGCGGCGCAAAGAAGCACGGAGAGCGCCCAAGAGCGGTATAGGGCATGCCTGCAAATCAGCGCGGGCTTCCCCAGCGATGCAAAAGAGAGACTCAAAGAGATACTCCGGCCAGGATGGCAGCGCCGATCAGTGCATCGTCAGGTGCAATGGTCCTTCATTTGAGAATCTTTTGCAAGCCGGTGTGCTACGAGGCCAGCAGGCTCATCACACGTTGAGAAACCACGGCCCAATGAAAGTCAAAGGACACCTGAGACCCTACTCCGCTTGAGTCCTCGTCCAGCTATCCCAAAACAGCTTCAGGGAGTGGGCCCAGACTCTGGCATCAGCACTGGCAGAGAGAGCAGAGCAGTACCTCAGATATAGAGAGCGTGCAAGCTCTCATAGGCCCTTCGAGGCTAGGTCTGACTTGACACCCCGTGGCACGTGGCCTCTCCAACAGCCGACTAACATCACGAAGACTTTGCGGGAAGGCCATGCGGCCCGACGGCATCCAGTCGCAGCCCACTCGCCTGCCGCAAGAACAAACATCATTGCAGAGGTATCTTGACGTGCTCAGCAAGTATCTGAACGCATGCTACTCCCGTTCATACCTGCAGAATGGCGTAGGCGTGCCACCACTTCTCGTGCGCATGCGCTTCATAACCGATACAATCACTACAACGAACAAGACCACAACAACGACCACGAGCACGACCCACAACAAGAACAACAACAACAACAACAATTACAATTTCAATTCAATTGAACGCTGTGCGAGCGGGCTCCACGCATGGCGGGCGTATTACCTCACCAAGAACTCACTGGACGTGAAACTGAGCTTGTGACCGAAACATGTCTGAACTAGTAAGCTTCCTCAGCTACTTCTGCTGATGACCGATCGACGCTGTGCTGCCTCGTACCACTTTGAGCCGACAACCACAACAACAACAACAACCACCACCACAACCACTACCACGACCACAACTACAACCACAACCACAATCACAACCACAACGACGACGACGACGACAAACCACAACTACAAGCTCAGCGCTAACGACGGTTA